GGCGCGGCTGACAACCCGGCTGGGGTTGTGGAGACACCCCGAAGTGCAGGGTCGGTGGAGGGGGCTCACGCGGGGGCCAGAGGGGAGGACGGGCTCCGCAACTGAGCGACAGCCAGGAGTCTGCTGACCGGGCAGGTGTCTGACTGTGGGACCCCTCCCCCTTGGGTATCGGCACCCAGGAGGGCCACCCTGGCCCCTTCCGTGTCCCTCACACCCGGAAGGACCGAGATGACAGACGTGATGTGCCTTGTGAAGCTCTGTTCCCATCCTCCCAGCGCATCCATCATCCGCTGGCCACTCAGCTGGGCATCTCCTTGGGCAAGCCCCCTTTGGGAGACCCCCAACGGGCAGCCAGGCAGGGGAGCGGGAGGAGGGAGGAGACGTGAGGACAGGGGAGCCTGGGGAAGGGCAGGAGGCACAGGCCGTCCCTGCCTCGGGGAGGGTCTTTCCCCTCCTTCCCTCGTCTCCAGAGCCCAAGGAGGTAGACAGCGGGGTCCTGGAGATCCCCTTGCCACCCCTCAGGTTCCCAAGTGGGGAAACCGAGGCCCAAGTCAAGCCAGTGGCAATCAGGATTACACCAGGGCCCGGGCAGGAGCGCGGCCATGCTTCTCAGAACAGCCTCCTGAGCCCACGTCTCTGGGTTCATCTCCCCCCCCACCGAAAGAGGCCCGGCCTGGTCCTTGCCCGGTCCTTCCTGGCCACTGGGCCCCTCCCAGGGAGTCCTCCTCAGAGGAATGGGGCGGTCCCATGCTGAGCAACCCCAGGGCTTTATGTCCTGAGGACAAAGCAGGACTGCGGGAACGCAAAGGTTTGTAACAGAGCCATTCATCGAGGTGCAGCCGTTCTAGAACTTTCCCAGCCCCCTTCCCCTTCGCCACGCCAAGTTCTGCTATCGCGGACACGCGCCCCCGGAGACACACTAGCTGGGCCCCCGTCTCTCGCAGGGTGAGCGGGCACTCACTGGGCACGGGACTCTGTTTCGACACACACCCTGGCCGCAGACACGGCTCCGTCCGCGGGCGGCTGGACAACAGGGGGGACGGCCCGCGCTGTACTCACCACCTCTGACCACAGCCTGGGCTTCCTCGGGCCCCACGCGCTCCCAGGCGACCGACGAGCTCACGGCCACTCTCCGGACCTCGTGGCCGCGGCCACCGCCTCCCGAGGGCCCCGCAGGCCCCCTCCCCATCGGGGCCGGCCCCTCGCCAGCCGCGTCCCCTGGGCCCTCCATGACGGGCGGCGGCACCATCAGCACCGGGGGCTCCGCGTGCCCGCTGGCTGCTGTGGGGAGAGCAGAGGGTGGTGGTCAGCGCTGAGGCCTCTCCGGGAACACGGGTGCCCACGGAGAGGCCGCCACAGGGGCCGGGGTCAGGAGAGAAGCCTCCGCTTTGCCTGGAGGGTGTCTCCGCTTCCTTTCAGAGGTCTGTCCGTCTGTGCGCCGCTGCCTCCCCGGCTAGGACCACCCTCCGAACCCCCAAGCCCCCAGCCACGTGCTCTTCCCGAGACGGGTGCGGCGTTTGCCCGGTGAGGAGGCCAACACCGGCCTCGCCTGCAGGTGGACAGACGGGGCCCCGTTCTTGCCGGCCCACGGGCCACCAGGGAATAGCTCAGAGCCTGACCCGTCCTGGTGCTCGAACATCCCTGCAAGCGCTGGACGGATGTGTGGGAACAGGGAGCAGAGAAGTCCTCGCGGGGCACCCGACACCTTGCATTTGAGATGAGTCCCCCCTCGTGTCCCGTCCGGCTAGAGCTGAGACGGACGCCCCCAGAGGCGGCCACCCGGGTCCGACTCGCACAAGCCTCAGTGT